AGGGGGCTGTTGTCTTCCCAGCGCCATCTCCCTGGAAACCAGCAACTGGGGGACATGGAGCCGCCCCATTCACAAGCAAAAGATATTCAACAGACATCAACACCAAGATAAGACAGATGTTGAAATTATGCAATGAAGACTTTAAAGCAGCTATTTTACAAATACTCAAACAAGCAATGACAAACACTCTTGAAACAAATAGACCGCAGCAAGTCTCGGCAAAAAGCAGAAGCTAGAAAGAAGAACGGAGAGGAGATTTTAGAACATAATGTAGTAACCAAAATAATAAAGAACCACACTATCTGGGCTTGAAAGCAAAAAGTAAACTTGACAAAAGATAGGAGTTATCCAATCCAAACAATAAAAAGACAAAAGCACTGATTTAAAAAAATGAGCAGAGCCTCAGGGGCCTCTGGGACAGTCACAAAAGGACTAAAGTTGTGTTGCCAGAATCCCACAAGAAAAGGAGAAAGAGTGCAGTACTTAAAAAAAAAAATTTGAAGAAATAATAGCTAAAAATGTACTAAGTATGGAAAAAGACAAAAATCTTCCAATTCAAATAGAACCCTCAACAGATGAACTCGAAAGAAATCCACATACCCAGACACGCTATAATCTAACTGCTGGAACTAAAGAAAAAATATCTTCAAAGCAGCCGGAGAAAAAATGATATATTCTCTATGGAGAAACTATCGGAATGACGGCAAACTTCTCACTGGAAACCGTAGACGCCAGAGGAAGTGGCACCACGTTTTTAAAATGCTTAAAGAAAAGAAACGAACTGTCAACCCAGAATTCTATATGCAGTAAAAATATCCTCGAGCAATGACGGCGAAATAAAGACATTCCCGGATGAAGGAAAATGAAGAGAACCGGGTGCCAGCAGTCCTGCTTTAAAAGAATTGCTGCGGGAAGTTCTTCAGACAGAAAGGAAATAATACCAGCAGGAGACTTGCAACATCAGGAATGAAGGAACAGCAACCAAAATAGTAGCTATCTCGGTAACTATTCTTGCCCTGACAGTTTTTTTTTTTTTTTGCCTCTGGAGCACTTTAAAATGTATTTGAACGTTCAAAGCAAACATCAAAACCCTGTCTTTGAGAGTTTTTAATGTAGATGCACTGAAGACAACTATAACATAAAGCAGCCGTTTTCAACCGGTGTGCCACAAGAATTTTTAAAACATGCAATCCCTGACAGTCCGTCAAGGGCACAAACCTTTTCCCCTTAGACTGTCAAATAGGAAACTGACAACAGCCAACACAACCATAGCCATCCGGTGTGAATGACTCAAAATTATACCTATTTTTTTTTGTCAGATTGGCAAAAGATATAATCTAGTTTGGGGAGTGCCGCAGAATTTTAGTGATTAGCTTGTATGTGCCGTGAGATGAAAAAGGTTGGAAATCACTGGCAGGTGGATCTATAGAGTGATGGGTTCTCCACTCCACCGGAAGTGGTACCATATTGATTCACAGCCGTCTGTGGGGAGATTGACTGCGGGTTTCAGTGGTTTCCAGCCTTGTCCATCGATTGCAAAGCCCTACATCAATTTTTCACCTCAAGGTTTCGTGGCCATTGGTGACCCCATTCTTAATTAGTGGTTACAAAATTGAGAGGCCCTCACTCACTCATTCTTCTATTACAGTTGTTATTCTTCAATTAAAAGAAAACTTTCCAAGTCAGGTATTTAATTTCTCAGAAGTGCAAATCATATGGGAAAGGGAGGGTAAGAGCTTGAGTCTTTCCTTTTATTTACCAGTTTTCAAAAGAGTGAGTGAGAATCCGTATTTTTAAATGGTAGATAAGCCAAAGGAAAATGCTGGCTTAATTTGGAATGGATATAATTGACTCACTTCGATAATTAAAGACCAATATCCACATATTTAAATCACACGGAGTCTTTAGCCATGGCAGGGAGTATGTAACATGGCAGTCATTTAGAATGTACCTTCTATAATGTGTCCCATTTGCTTTTAATCACCGTTGGATAACTCTCTAGTATAGACCTATGAATATATAGGGTGTCCCCCCAAATGTATACACACACTTTGAAGAATTATAAAGGCAGTGTTTATTAAAATACATTTCATTTTCAAAATTGAGCTCTCGGCTGTTAAAGTGTGTATACATTTTTTGGGACACCCTGTAGATACAACATATCTAGAATTCTCCCCTGAGATTATAAGATCCCCATAGCAGGAAGCAGAGATCGAGCTCAGACACACGAAATGAACTATAACAGAAGCATGTCTTTTCCATGAAGATGGAGCTGAAATTGAAGGAGGAAGCCCCTGCCCTCCCAAAGCCGAAGCAAAGGCTTGGAAGGCAACGAAAGCAGTGCGGAAAGGCGTCCACAGTCACAAAAGAACCAACAAGATCCGCCCATCACCCAGCTTCTGAGGGCCCAAGACACTGTGTCCAAATATCCTCAGAAGAGCACCCCAGGAGCAACAAGCCTGCCCACTGTGCCATCGTCAACTTCTCCCTGACCACCGCGTCCACCATGGAGAAGAGAGAAGACAATCATACACTTGAGTTCCCTGTGGGTGTCAAGGCCAAGGAGCACCAGATCCAACAGGCTGTGAGGAAGCTCTATGACACTGAGGTGACCAAGGTCAGCACCCTCATCGGGCCGGATGGAGAGAAGGGGCATATGTTCCCCCGGCTCCCCACTAGGATGTGTTGCATGTTGCCAACAAAACCGGCATGATCTAAACTGAGTCCAGCTGGCTAATTCTAAATATAAAAATGTTTACAGTGTTAAAAAAAAAGAAAGAATGTCCTTGGACATCCGAAGCCAAAGATGAAATCCTAGTAATTAAGGTCTTCCCCTTAATCTCTCATAGTTTTAAGTCAATATACATTTTTTGGGGGGTTTTGTTTCTGGTTTTGAAAATATATTTTTATTGATTTCAAAAAGGAAGGGAGATGACGAGAGAGAATCATCAATGATGAGAATCATTGATCAGCTGCCTCTTGCACACCACTGCTGGAGATTGAGCCCGCAACCCGGGCATGCGCCCTAACTGGGAATCGAACCCTGACCTCCTGATTCATGGGTTGATGCTCAACCACTGAGCAACACCAGCTGGGCTCACTCTGTTTTTATAAGCAATTATCATGTGCCAGCCACTGCACTAAGCACTTTTCAGATATTATCTCATCTAATTCTCACAACAGCCCCAGGAGCAGGCTCTCAGCACTGCTTCTGCAGACAAGGAAACCCCGGTGCAAAGAGATTATGGAGCTTGCCCACCTCCTGCCTAATTAGGGCAAACACAAACCAGGCCAGACACGCCAGCTCAACCTCACCTGCTCAGCCAGCCACACCCTGTTAGCGGGAAGGTGGGTTTCGGCCACTGCACTAACCATTTAGTAATCGAGTGGCTGGGCTGTATTTCTGCCATCTGAGACCCAGAAGGTGAAATAAGGCAACAGGAGAAGGCACAGGAGAGAGAGTTATGAGCCCCCTCTGTCCCTGCTGTGAGGGTAGAGCCATGACAGCTCCCTGGAAAGACATAAATAACACAGGAGACAGCCACCCCCTCTTCAGGGACTTAAAATAGAACCGATGGGATGAGGAAAAATCAATTTATCCAGTCACTGAAGTCGCTGAAACTTACATTTTGAAAAAATTGATAACAGGAGAGAATGGTCACAGGAAAGAGGACATCTCAATTAAACATGTAAGAGAAGACAGAGCGAGATGGAGGGGGCGGGGGAGAGAAAGGACCGGCATGAAATAGCCCAAATATTAATAGTGTTTCATTCTGGGCAGTTTCGTTTCCCTCTTTATACTTTCCTATATTTTGTAAATTCTTTTAATAGTCAGAAGAAAAAATGTTACTAAAATATGCAGACACAGAAAATAAATGGGTAAATTTGTCCAGAGCAGATACAGCGACCAGGACTCCAGTAGTCTAACACATGAGGGGAAAGCAAAGAAGAAACAGTGAGCAGCCACCTGCATGGCCAGCAGCAGGCACAAAGCAACCGGCTAGGAGAGATGGGACAGTATGGGGCGGGGAAGGCACGCTGGAGGGTCACTGAGGCCGCTGTGTGTGAAGTGGTTCTGGACACAGAGATGCTGCAAGGAAGGGGCTGCATGTATCCAGGCCGAGGAGGAGTATGACGCCTAACACAGAGAGTGCTTAGAGGCAAGTGCTTAGAGGGGTAGAGAGAACAAGGGGGGTGGTGGTGTCTGTGTCCATACTGAGAAATAGTATACAGCAGGTAAAAGGAATCAGGGTGGTCACAAATAAAAAAAACTCTAGCTTTCTATACTATTTGAATGTTTTCCAAAACATATCCTTCTAGTATGTGTATAATTAATACAGAAACATATTTCTTTTTAAAAAATATTTTTTTTATTGATTTCAGAGAGGAAGGGAGAGGGAGAGAGATAGAAACATCAATGACGACAGAGAATCATTGATTGGCTGCCTCCTGCACGCCCCCTACTGGGGATCAAGCCTGCAGCCCCGGCATGTGCCCTTGGCTGGGAAACCAACCGTGACCTCCTGGTTCCTAGGTCAATGCTCAACCACGGAGTCACGCCAGCCAGGCTAGAAACATCTTTTTTTGAAAAGAATTCAAAGAAAGAAGGAACGCAAGCGCACAGGCCTGGGATGTCGAGTGGGAGAGTCACTCAGAGGACAGTCTGAATGAGCCTGGAACTGGCTCAGCCACCTGTGCACTGCGTGACCCTGGATGAGTTTGTTTCCCTCTCTGCACCTCAGATGCCTGACCTGCTCACAGGGATCACACACGTGCATTTGCACCGCTATTGTCAGCACTGAAAACAAAGTACAGCAAGGCCCCGTGCACTCAGGAGAGCCCTGATGAATGGCAGCTGAGCACCTACACAAGCCGGAAGCGGTAAAGAACAGAGTCTGGGGCTCAGCAGAGAACGCCGGAGCCTGTGGCGGAGGAAGCCAGCACTGAGAATGGCCAGCACGGAGGAGGGGGGCGGCTGGAGTGAACACGGGACCACTTACTGCAGTTCTCTTCATCGCTGCCGTCGGGACAGTCCTCGAACCCGTTACACCGGAAGCGGCCGATGATGCAGTGGATGCCGCTGGCACAGGGGAAGAAGGTCGGGCCGCATTTCGACTTGACCTTGGCTGCGGGAGGACACAGGACAAACAGCAAGACGTCAGGAGGTTACGCTTTCCGACACGGCACACCCACCCCGCTGACCCTGTGCATTTACCTGGAAGCCTCCAGAAGGTACTTACCACCACCACCACCTCTCCCCCCCGACACCCGTCTGATTGGAAGCCCACAGGCATCACCCTCTGGGAAGGGAGCGGCTGCTCCCGCTGCTCCCCAAGTCCCAGGGAGCCGACAGCACCTGCAGCAGCAGGGCTCACTCAACATGTGCCGCCCAGGAAGCAATGGGTGAGTAGATGGATGATGGATGGAACGTGTTCCCAAGGTGCTAATGAGCCATTCCAGACTCATCGCCTGGCTGTCGCAGTAATTCCCTACATTCACTGAGCGCTTCTGACACTAGACGGAGCGGCCAGCGCTCCACAGAGATCATATCTTTTAATCCACCCAGCAGCCACCGATGGGGTGGTGCGAGGAAGGGGTTCACTCAACAGGCCCGAGGCTGCTATCCTCAGAAAGGCTGGCTGGCAAGCATGGCCCTTGCTTGGCTGGCATCTGGGAACCTGGCTTTTGGTAGGGCTCTCTCCATTCTCATAACAGTGGCTCGCTGCACCCAGATATGCAATCAGCGCAGTGTATGCGGAACACCTGCTTTTATTCTGAGAGTTTGGGAGAGGGTGTCTGTGTGACCAGCTCCCAGTAAAAACCCTGGGCACCGAGTCTCTAACAAGCTTCCCCAATAGAAAATGTTACACACATTGTCACGACTTGTCACTGCATCCTGCGTGATGCCCCTGGGAGGGAAAGCCCGGAAGTCTGAACTTGGCTTCCTCTGGCCCTCACTCCATTCACCTCTCTCCTGTGCTGTAACAAATGAGAGGCTGAGTTCTATGACTCCACCCAGCACATCGCTGAGCCGCGGGGCCGTCTCGGGGACCCAGGACAAAGATGGGTCTGGTTCTCATCCCCACATCCCAGGTGTGCTCGGAGAGGTGACGTGACTTGCCCAAGGTCACGCAGCTAGAAACCCTGGCCCTGGCATGAAGGCCGGGCACTCAGACGTGGAAGCCACGCTCCCGGACAGCTCGATCGTGTTGCCCCCCTGCCAGAGACTGTCACTTGTCGAAACAGAAGCCAGACTCCTGCTCAAAGAAATTCTTCTTCCCCTTCTGCCGCACAAACAGTTTTAAGAGAAGCTGCTGTGGCTTGGGCTTGACTGAGTGTCCCGCTAACCACCCGGCCCTGTGGTGTAATGTGCTTTCCCGTTAACGGCGCTGGCTGCTCGGCCCGGCGATTGACAAGGTGTGAGGTGGGATCTATTACTGCATCCCAGGTAGCTGATCCCACCGAGCATCCCTCTCGTCGCCTGTCTTAGAGGCAGGAGTCATGATCCTCAAAAAGGAAGGGCCGTTTCTTTGGAACAAACAGGCAATAAACTGCGTTCATGTTCCTGCCATCAGCTGCATGCCACTGTGAGCAGCAGCTGATCCACAATCAAAAGGGTTTGCAGGCCTGGGACATGGCTCCGTGGTCCCCTGGAACTGCTGTCAGTGCTGGTGTGCCCTCCACAAAGCACAAACTTGGGACAGAGTTCAAATTGTGGCTCCACTTTTAATGGCCTGGGGCACGTTTCTAAATATCACCGAGCCTCCCTTTCCTCAATAAACTGCAGCTAACAACTACCTCACAGGGCTCTAGGAAGGAGTCAATGAGATCTATACTAATAAAAGGGTAATATGCTAATTAGACTGGACATCTGCCGGACATCCTTCTGGACAAAGCCACAGTGGCGGGGGCCGAGGCAGAGGCAGTTAGGGGCCATCAGGCCTGCAGGAAAGAGCAGTTAGGGATGATCAGGCAGGCAGGTGAACGGTTAGAAGCCAGCGGTCCCGGATTGTGAGAGGGATGTCCAACTGCCAGTTTAGACCCAATCTCTGTGGGATCAGACCTAAACTGGCAGTCGGACATCCCCTGAGGGGTCCTGGATTGGAGAGGGTGCAGGCCAGGCTGAGGAACACCCCCGTCCTCACCCCGTGCACAAATTTCGTGCACCAGGCCTCTAGTAATGTATATAAAATGCTTAGCACAGAACAGTGATGGCGAACCTATGACACGCATGTCAGAGGTGACACACGAACTCATCTTTTGGTTGATTTTTCTTTGTTAAATGGCATTTAAATATATAAAATAAATATCAAAATATAAATCTTTGTTTTACTATGGTTGCAAATATCAAAAAATTTCTATATGTGACACGGCACCAGAGTTAAGTTAGGGTTTTTCAAAATGCTGACACGCCGAGCTCAAAAGGTTCGCCATCAGAGCATGGCACACAGTAGATGCTCAACTAATGATAATGCTTATGCTATTTATCACCAATCAACATCATCATCAGTAGGCTTACCGAATTCTAAAACTGACATCTGGGCTGTTGGATAACTCTTTTTTTCTGATTATCACCGTTAACAAAGCTCCTTACGACAACTCTCTATGAACTGACATGAAGTGATTGCCCGGAGATATCAGTAAGTGCAAAAGCAACGTGTGAAAGAACTCCTACAGTACTTTCACCTTCCACATAGCAAGAGAAGGCGATATAAGAAAATATATGTGTACTGCCTCATCTGTGAGAAAGAAACACAGGAAGGATAAACCAGAAACTAAACCAGGATGGGGGTGGTTACCTACAGAGGTGTGTGGGAAGGATGGGAGATGGGGATGGAACGAGCTGCAGGGACAAGAGGGATGCACATTCCTCTGAGTCTATCTGTACAACTCCGACTCTCAGAACCAAGGTAGTATCTCACATACCCTAAAAGTAAACAATTAAAATCAACCATGATTGTGTGTGTGTGTGTGTGTGTGTGTGCCTATGCAATATAAACAGCAACAAATGCTCAACTATATTACAGGTGAATAACAACATCACACTGAAAGGGGTGAGGAAGAAAAGAACTTGCCTAAGTAACTACGGAATCATTATTCTGACAGAACACTAAGGCTAACGAGAAAAAGAATTGTACACAAATAGGGTATTCCGGTTCTATCTGCTTGTCACAGGGTATGGGTGAGCAATTCTGAAAGGAGCTTTTGTGTGTACTAGGTGGAACAAATACAGCAAGAGCAAGGTTTTTCTACTATCAGAGCGAGATGTTACAGATGAGGCGTGGGAAGGCCGAAATGAGCCCTGAGGCTTCGGACTGGATTTGAAGGCATCAGAATGAACTCAAGGTTTGGATACATAGATGATAGAAAGATAGATAGATAGATAGATCTATTGATAGATGATAGATAGATAGATAGGTGACAGATATGGAAGGAAGGGAGGGAGGAAGGCCTCCTGGCTTCCCTCTTGAGCCCATGAGGCATAATTCTACCCTAGGACCTTTGCACCTGCTGTTCCCTCTGTCTGAGATGCCTTTCTCCCAGGAGTTGTCATGGCTCACTCCTCTGTTTATTTAGGTCTCTTTAACCACTGTACTGTCTACAGGAGAAACCCCACCTTCCACCCACAGTCACTCTAGCCCTTATTCTGCTTTCCTTTCTTCATAGCAAAATGTCACGGATTTTGTGTTGGGCTGTTTGGCTATGAACATACACTCACTGGAATACTTGCATTCGCTACTTTTGAAGGAGCTGCACTGTACAGTGCCTGCATTTGGATGTCTAATAAATACTTGCTGAACAAACAAATGAACCCGTTAAAGGAGAGAATGGGTTTGGGTGATGATAGTCAGCATTTACAGAATGCTCAGTACGGGCTGAGCATTGCGCTCCATATTTTACAGACATCATCTCTTTGACTCCTCACAAAGCCCATTTTACAGATAAGAAAACTGAGGTCCAGAAGTGAAGTGGCTTGAACCTGCTAATAAACAGAGTCAAAGCTCAAACCCTGCTCTTGCCTCATCAGCCTCCTTATAGATTTCTTAAGGCCCAGCCCAGCTCCAAAGGACTAGACTCTATAAGATAAAGAGAGAAAAGAGAGTGAGAATATGAGTAATTATAAATGAATGAGCTACCATTCAATTAACCAGCTCTTTGGCCCTGGCCCTGCAACGTCTTCGGGAATCAGTCACGAGACTTCCTGCCTTAGTGGGGATGCTCAGAGGCTGTCTCTGTCGGAGGGAGCCTGTCCCGTTTTGACTTACATCTGGGCCATCAGACGCCGGCTAAGGCAACCTCCGTGGCGGATCACGGGCGGCCAGCCGAGCGTCTGGCAGAGGCTCAGAGAAGCCCATGGCTGACAGCAGCTGTCGGCTGCTCCCTGCCTGCATGACCCGCTGTGGGGCCCAGGGGGGCCTGAACCAAGTCTGTCCCCCACTTCCACGGAGGGGAGATTTCAGCCCAGACCTCAGCAGCCCTGGCAGAAGGTGGAAGGAGGACTCTGTGTCTAAAATCGCACTGACAGAGGCAGAAGGGGTGACTCCATTCCACTGAGTACGTATTTAAATCCTTCACTTTGCAAGGAGCTGCTCAATGAACTTCCCAGCCAGTCAGGAGACAGGGTTATCCTGGGGTTGGTTCATTCCTGATCGGAGTCCCCCCTCCTCAGAGCCCGGCTGTTACAGCTCTGAATTTCACAGATCAGTAAAATAAAAATAAAAAGGTTTCACTAGACGGGAGTGGACAAAGGACTATTTTCATTTGATCAGCAAGGACATAAACAAACACATGAGCAATCCCTGCTGTTCGCCTTAAATGAAAGGCTGCTTTAGCACCCGCAGTGCAGGAAGACATGGTCCTTGGATGGGTGTTTGGGGGTCATGCCAGAACTAGGGGGGACCAGGAGACATGCCAGCGCTGCCAGGGTGTGATGCCCTCAGATCCAAGGCCTGACCTTCACCTGCCAACATCTGGAGCACAGCAGGCCATCCACACAGGCTCATTCAAAAGCGAATTCTCACATTTCACAGATGGGGAAAACTGAGGCCCGAGGAGGCAACTGGGGACTTACCCGAAGCCACATGGCCATTCAGGGTCAGACTGCTCTAGAACTCAGGCCTCATGC